AATAACCCTTACAGCCTCCCCAAACAGAGACTAAAAACAAGGTAGCTTCACAGACTCACCAAACAAAAATAAAAAATAAGGAATTCTTATAGTTTCATTAAACAGAGGTTAAAAATAATAAAACTTGACATTCTCACAAAAGAGACACTAAAAATAAAATAACCCTTACAGCCTCCCCAAACAGAGACTACAAACAAGACAGCTTTACAGTCTCACCAAACAAAAATAAAAAATAAGGAATTCTGACAGTCTCATCAAACAGAGATTAAAAATAATAAAACTTGACATTCTCACAAAAGAAACACTAAAAATAAAATAACCTTCACAGCCTCCCCAAACAGAGACTAAAAACAAGACTGCTTCACAGTCTCCCAAAAACAGAAATAAAAAATAAGAGACTTAAAGTCTTGCAGTCTTACAAAAAAATTAAAAAATAAAAGAGCTTCACAGTTTCCCACAAAGATCAAAAAATAAAAAAAGGTAAAATATGTTTAAAGAACGAATAATTTTGTTAGAAATTGCGCAGTATTTGTCGAGTTTAATGAGGCAATATTTGGGCAGATTCGATTACGGGATGATAGAGGGTGCGTGGAGGTCGCCTTTAACGTTAGACACATGTAACCCTCTTTGCACGTGTCATCCCGCAGACTAAGGGCGTGAACTCACGTCCACAGGCGCCCACGCACGAAGGGAAGATAACCGTTGCGAGGTCACTCGACAGGACGAGCTCTCGCACAATTTTCCTCTACCCCTGTTGGAACGGCGATGTGTAACAACCCTTACCGACACGGCTAACCCCTCTCTCTCTCTCTGTTGGGGTTGCACAATCGCGCCCTGATTGATAATTTATACGGTGCGTGCAGGTTATTTGATTATCTGTCCCCCAGTTGGCCCGCTCTCTTCTCCTTTCCTCCTTTTCCGCTTCTGTTCTACATCGACAACTTCTCCGTGTCTTTCTTCGTTTGTTCTTAGCACTTTGTTTTGCTTTCGGAAAACTGCTTTTGAACGGCTTGCGGGGTGGTTGTTTGAGGGTCTGCGGTTACTGAATTTGGGAGGAGGAGTTGGGAATTTGGGGGTTGGGAGTTGGAGAATTTGGGGATTTGGGGATTTGGGAGATTGGGAATTTGGGAGATTGGGAACTTGGGAGATTGGG